TAGGATTACGTCAAGAATTAAATGATATAGTCAGAGAAGTATTACTGGTTGTTGTCAAAGAAGTTTTTAAGAATTTTCATAAGTACAGCATCTCGAGCAGGTTTAATTTTATAATTTCAACTTCTACTATTATATAAAAATTCATGTTCTAAATACTCCTGTATGAATTTACACGTGATATCTTCTGTCCATTTAATTATTATAACTCAATATAAAACGTATAAATACTCGTTAAACCGTACCGTATAAACTTTTTGGTGAGTTTAATTATAAAAGTACAATTATACGTTTTGGTGCACAAACGTTGCGTCCTGTCAAATTATGCACTGAACTAAACTCGCTCGTTTACAAGAACGGCGAGTTTAGTTGCGGGTAACGGGAGACACACGGGAGGGCAGCACTTCGCATAACTCGCCGAAAAGTAGCTCGGCCGGCGATCCCGTTCAACTTAATTGTTAACTTGCTACTTAACTCGCTTATCGCCGTTCAAACGAGATTATCTACTCAACCCGCCGGGTTCGCAAGTTAACTCGCTACTGTACTTATTGAAGTGTAAATCGGTCTTAAGAGATGATGGAGGAAAACAGATTAGGGGATGGGCAGTAGCATCTTCCTATTGACGACAAAAAACTGCAGTTGCTAATCCGCAAGCTAAGCGTGCCAACTATGGCATTCCCTCCTGTGGGGCATTCTGTGGCCTATATTCGGCAGTGGACTATAACGGAAACTTACAATAGAATAGAATTATTTTTATTCAAATTAGATTACAGGAATACTTATAGAATTTCATTGACGCTTTTACCGCAGGCTAAGAAAAAACCTCTATTCTAAGAACCAGCAAAAAAACCCAGCGGGACTTTAATAAACATTAATTTGCAATATTATCTATTAATTTTAGTTTGTTCGTATTTTATGCGCTGCCATACCGTTCTTCAGATTGCGGTAAATTTTATCAACATATTGCCTGCACTTACGAAGGTTATAAGCATAGTTAGATCCGTTAGGTGGCGCTGTTGTACAATCCAGATATCACCTGTATGAAACATTTATAAATAGCATATTATCGATGACCTCGTTATATTATTTTTCATATATTTATCTTTTTTATATACTTTTGAACTTAATTGATTTGTCCACACACCACTCTACGCATATAAGTTGTTGAGCACAAAGCCAACTTCCTTCCATTAGTAAAACTCCAAGTATAGCTATACAGCTTCCTAATACAGCTTCAGCGTAACCTTCCCCATACAGCTAGCAGTTAAGAACCATGACTAATATAAGTAAATAGCAACTGTTGTAATCTCAAATTCTGTCTAGTCAAGTCGGTTCCGTTGAGTTTAGTCGATTGACCTCTCGGTTAAATTAAAATTTGCTACCAACCTCAAGATTAAATAAAGTAAGGTTTTGAATCCCGCTCTGAAGAAGTATTTGTTTGTTCTAAATTGACTGTTTCAGATTACAGTGTTTCTATATGTGAAATTTATTTTTAGAAAATTTCCACCGCGATACGATAAATTCTTAGTGATTAAATTATTATTAAAAAGTTTTTGGTACTAAAAAATTAAAGAAAATAATATTCAATTTACATCTAAACACCATAACATAAGGTTGCTAAAGGATTAGTGTGGCCGGGCCATAATCGAGAGATGTGCCGCCAAGAAACCCTGGTGAATTAAATTTGGGGAGGCGTGACATTTTGGTAAGTAGGATTATTAGTAAAGGAGGCGCTACTCGTCCCAGCCTCCGCGGCTCTGGCTGGACCGCAAAGCTAAGAGCGTTCCTCGATTGCGTTTATTGGCGACAGCATCACCTTACAATCATGTGGAATGTGTGCTCATTTGTCACCCTCATCCTAAAGAAACAAAAACTTCATTATTCAATAGAGAATTTAAATAATACTTGTTGAAAGTGTTTGTTTTTTAACTTACCACATTTTTGATAGGATATAATAGATGTATTTGCGCTTATGTAAGTGAATATCATGAAATAGTTTTACACGTGGGTTGAACCTGGAATTGGAGGGAGATCCAGTAGTCTATTTTCAACCGACTTCAAAAAAGTAGGAGGTTCTCAATTTGACTGTATTTTTAATTGTGTTACATAAATCCAGTCTTCATACGACATCGCGGCACTTAAACTCAAATGACACTTTATTTCCTAATGAAATGTACTTTAATTCAACTTACATTTTTGGCCACTAGAAACAGCTTTCAAAAAGTTGGTTACTCTACAAAATTTTATTGTAAAACTCTTCATAATGTGTCTTAAAAGTCTTGTCTTAAATGTCTACATAAGACGTATTCACTTACTCACGCGCCTTTTTGACCTGTAGTGAACAAATATAGCTGGCATGGTAAAAGTCCGGTAAGCATTGAAATCCGGTAGGTATCTTATTTTGGCTCTAAAATCCAGATTTATTTAGTCAGATGATATGCTAGGAAAGTTCACATTTCTTATAATTGACTTTGTAGTAGAAATAATAATAATAATATCGTAATGGTAGAAATATATACACTTCTACCCATAATTCATTGTCATGTTATCTGTCAAGCCGTCATGACAATATATTTATAAATTAATATATAAAATTGGTATATATTTATAAAAAAATGTGGTTGTGAATACCGTGAAATGTAGCTATTGTATTATATTGCTAAAAAAATAATCAAAATGGGCTCACAATTGATGAAGGCATGCATAAACAATGTAGTGTAATCTCCTTTTTATGAAGTAGGCTAAAAACGTTTTAAAATTGATTGTCTTGAAATGTTTAAAAAGAATGACCTTTCATTTTTTATAATATAAATAAACTTAAGAATTATATAAGTCTATAATTTCAAATGTTTTTAAGAAAATGAAGATCGTAACTTAGGGAAATTCTAATTTAGAGTTCCGTAGTCCAGTCATATTCATAAAGACGAGAATAAATGGCCCAGTAGTATTATGATTTTTATTACTTTCGTCCAATACGGGCGTCTTGTGCAGATGTTACTCCTTATTTGTAAATTGAGTATAGAAATTTTATTGTGTAGTAAAATACTAAGGAAGAAGAATTACCAGAAAATTCTATATATATTTTATATTTTTAACCAATTTTATGTCCTACTAGTTAATTTTAGGCAAAATTCAGAATACTCTAAGACACTTACTTGTAGGTTTCCTTGTTATTTCTAGGTCAAGAGGTAGAATCAGTAAACAAAATTACGAGGAAAATAGGACATTCAAAATTGGTTATAATAGAATATTTTCTATCAAAAGCTCATAAAGCTAATATAATCTATAATCCTAACTGTTTTGTAGGTATATTTTCCTCTTAAAGAGCGTGAAAATATCTATGACATAAAAAATAAAGTCATGGTGACCTAAGCGTGCGGGCTGGCGGGTTACGTTGTTTTTGTTAAATGTGTTTAGTCATCATTAATAGAAACCCAAAGTCTACTGCCACACATGGAACTCCCCGTTGTAGTGAAGATTTCCCTTAGTCGTTACGCTTGACACACGTATCCTCGCTGGAAAGGAATCAGAGATATAATACTATTAATTAATTTTGTTCTTGATGTTTAGGATGCTATATTATGTCTGCAGCACGAATGGAAATTTTGACTTGGCCGAAGTAATACCACGCTATCATAGATTACCAGCGTGAATCACGAATACCCTGCGTGTTTCGTACGGTGAGTGTGGAGAATAGGAGATCCTTTTTACTTGTTAGGAGGCGTTCTATCTTAGACCTCAGGGGTGACAACGCATACGAATTTGAATACATAATTACGATAGATATTGATGTTAATGGGCCACATACTGTGTACTGTTTTGTCACTCTTATTCAATAAAAAATAGATTTCTAAAAAGAAGAATTAAGTTAAGAAATAACTTTGCTTCAGTTAAAAATACTTAGCATAATATGTCAGCACAACACATCGTTGTAAAATTTGTTCCCAATATTCTCCCACCAATAGCACCGCTCTTGTTTCAATTAAGTGATTTTACATAAGACACAGCCTACTGAAAATTAGTCTGAGTCAAGTCGGAGTCAAGGCACGTCAGGCGTCAATCAAACGACGTGCGATCAAGTTAGGGTGAAAATGTAAAGAGATATATCAATGCGAATCACACTATTTATGAGTTAAAATATCGACAAAAGGAATTTTTTAAAAATCATCATCATCATCATCAGTACAGGCCTTCAAAAGTCCACTACTGAACATAGGATTCCCCCAAGAAATGCCACAAAGCACGGTTCCAAGTCACCTGCATCCATTCACTTCCTGCGTGTCTTAACGGGTTGTCACTGAGAAATTTTTATGTTATAAAAATACAATTAAAGTAAAAACGGAATGGAGGTAAAGGAAAATAAAATGTGTACTTAGTTCTGGATGTCAAGAGAAGATTTTTTGCCCGGGAATCTGAAAGACCAAGCTGTAGCAGCGATTTTAACATATTTCACTATAATCGGTTAGCATTATAGCATGAAATTCATGTTAAAAATCTGTACTAGAAACTATATCTAGACTGGTGGTAGTAAACAGCATAGCCATAATGAGGTTTTTGACTCACCAATCTACTTAGCATGTTTAGTTAATGTTAAACGAAAATATTTTGATAACACCAAGGAAGGATACAATCATCCTTGTTCATGTTGTGGTATATTATGGCACAAAAATTCTGTAAGGAAACTAATAAAGCATTCTATTTCGACTAAATATAATGCAGAATTCACGTTAAGTGTATTTAATTTAAATCCTTGTGATGAATCTGCGGAGTTTTGCTGTACGTGTGCTAAATATATAACTCAAGGGCGAATGCCACGATTGGCAATAGCCAATGGATTGAAGATTCCAGATATTCCGGATGTTTTGAATGAATTAACTTCAATGGAGGAGAGATTAGTAAGTCCTCGTCACGTATTTTTGAAAATAGTTCGTAGAGGCCAGGGATTAGGATATCAGCATGGTTTATCAGGAAATGTTATTAATGTACCTGTAAAAATTAATAACATGGTAAAAGCTTTGCCTCGGTCGATAAATGATGACAATGTCATCACTGTAGAGTTGAAGCGTAAATTGTTACAGCGTAAATTCTGTTATAAACATGGTCGAAAAGAACAAGTCCGCCCGGAAATCATACGGAGAGCAGTGGAATATTTAGTAACGTGTGATCTGTTTCGGACATATGATATAGAACTTGAAGGTTCATGGACAAATAATGAACCTGAAGACACTGTCGAATATACCTGTAGTTCACCTGAGCGGGAGAGCAATGTTGATGAGATCCCTGATGTAAATCCTGGTGGCTCCAGGAGAAGGTAAAAGGCCAATTTCCTTGCTTTTTGATCGACATCTGGAAGAGCTGGCCTTCATAAAAGTACATTGCGCTATTGAGCGAAAATACCTCGTGAACTTAAGTCATTCTGAAGTCAGACGTTCAGAAATTTCTAGAAATGACAGGCGAGCTGTAAGACCTGATTACCTATTTACTGCACTGAAAAAGCAACAAACTATTGCCGTCAAAAATAATGTTACGACCTGTTTACGCAAAAAAAAACTGTCAGAGGTGCCCCTGTATTTGCATGTAATGTGCTTCAAAATAATTTTGTTGACAATTTAGTTCAACATGACGATGGGTATCGTGTTCTTGGAGGAATTAGAAATTCTCCTGCTCACTGGGAAAGTGAAAAATAAAAGTTGTTGGCAATGGTTAGACAGTTCGGTGTTCCCACTTTATTTTTAACTATATCTGCTGCTGAAGTGCAATGGATTCCATTATTAATTTTGCTTAGTGAAGTAGTTGATAAGAAAAAACTTACTGAGCTTGAAGCGGAAAACTTGCCATACGATACAAAAACTCGCCTTATACAATCCGATCCGTTCATTTGCGCCACATATTTTGAAACCAAATTAAAAGAAATTCAAAAAACCTGGTCCTGTTCATCTGGATCTTTCTTAGATTATAAAATCACTCACTTTTATTATCGCATTGAGTTTCAGCATAGAGGATCGCCTCATGCTCGTATGATGTTATGGTTAGACGAAGCGCCCAATTTTGTACCTGATGATACAGCATCTGCTCATGATATTTTCAAATTTGTTGATAATATTATTTCCTGTAACAGCACTGAAGTACCTGATGAACTAAGACGTCTACAACTACATAAACATACACATACATGCCGCCGGCCAACATCTGATAGACTGTGTCGCTTTTGGAATACCATTTTTCCCCATGGATGAAACAAAAGTATTAATAGAACTTTCAAAAGACGATCCAGAGTTCAAAAAGTCAAAACAATTGGCAAAAGACATCTGCCAAAAAATACAAAATATTCCTGCATGAATGTACACTTTCGTTGATTTTTTGGACTGGATTTTTGAACTAACTCTAAGTTATGAAGATTACATATTTGCTATTAGAAGCACCTTAAAACGACCTACGATAGTCCTTCATCGCAGACCTCAGGATGTATTTATTAATCCTTTTAGTAAAAAAATCTTAGCTTCGCACAAAGCAAACATGGACATCCAATTCATATTAGACCCGTTTGCGTGCGCAGTATATATTGTTGACCATATTAACAAGGCTGACCGAGGGATGTCTCGTCTTTTTGCGTGAAGCTTTGGACGAAGCTAAAAAAGGAAATAAAAGTGTTAAAGAGTCATTAAGAATAGTATCTAATGCATTCTTAATTTCTAGTGAGATCTCTGCTCAAGAGGCAATCTATGTACTGACTGGTTTACCACTGTCAGGAGCTAGTGAAGCTGCAATGTACAAAAACACTAGTTTGCCACAAGAGCGAGTGCATACTTTAAAAAGTTACCTTAAATTGCAAAGCCTCGAACCTGATTCTTCCGATATATTCCAAAAGGGTATTATTGATTATTATTCAAAACGACCACTATCTTTAGAAAACATAAATCTTTCCCATTTTGTAGCATATTACACCTATTCCAAAAAAACTCATTCAGCTAGTTCAATAGAAACTCTCAATAACAGTTCTCAAGCAATTGATTATTCCTAGGCTGTTGAAGAAGTTGAAGCGGAAGGGAATTGCATTCCTTTGCAAGATAATTTAGGATACATACGGAAAAGAACTAAAACACGAGTAAAACGATTTCGCCGGTACAGTTACATTGATATTCCAGACAATTTCTATAGGGAACAGATAATGCTATACATCCCTTGGCGAAGCGAGGAGGAAGAATTAAAAAATCCCACCATAAATATAAAGGACATATTTGATGATTATAAAGAAAGAATAAAGGCCGATAGTAAACAATTCAATAAACTAGGTGATGCTGAAATGTTTGAAACATTGCTAACAGAAATAAGAAATTTAGAATTAATAAACGAAGAAGAAGATTTGCAAGGAAGAGGAGTCAACGTTGATGTATTTGAAGGCTTTGAATTTGAGACGCAAATAGTAGAAGACCTCATTCCAGGCGGAAATCCCGGGCCGCAATTGTGTGGTGACCCCTCAACTTTCATTGCGCAACCGCCTCTCTTGTCCCATGACGATATTTTGATTCTAACTAGAAAACTAAATGATGCCCAAAGAGACATGTTATTTCAAATTTATCAACACTTTTCCATTGCTTCTCCACATCCACTATATTTATTTATCAGTGGTTGGGCTGGCGTTGGCAAAAGTATCCTGATTAGAGCAATTTATCAATGCCTAACTCTCTTATTTAACAGAGAAGCTGGTAGTAATCCCGATGCATTAAAAATACTTTTAACAGCCTTTACCGGTAAAGCTGCATTCAGAATAGGAGGGCAAACAATCGTACGTAGCGCACTTGGACTTCCAGTGTCTCAAGCGGGTAATATTTTACCAGAGCTGTCACCAAGTGTGGCCAATACTCTGGCCACAAAACTAGCAAAAATTCTTTTAATTGTAATTGATGAAATATCAATGCTAGGATCCAGCACATTCCATCAAACAAATCGTAGACTGCAGCAAATATTTCACTCGTCTACCTTCTTTTCTGGAATTTCAGTAATAGTAGTTGGAGACTTCAGACAATTACCACCTGTAGGCGACAACTGCGTGTTTCAAGCTAATTCTCGAAATCCTTTAGCAGAAATAGCAGGTACGCCGCTTTGCGATTTATTTGTACTGACAGAGCTTAAAGAAATAATGCGTCAAAGGGATGATGTTGCCTTTGCAACGGCATTAAATAATATGGCTAGTGGATGTATGTCACCTGAAGATGTCAATTTAATTGAAGGTCGGTGCTTTAGTAACTCATCACTTCCAGACACGTGTAAGGGCGCAGTTCATCTATTCAGCAGTAACCGAGAAGTTGGTGAGCATAATTCTAAAATACTCTCAAATATGACTACCGAAGGAGCGATATCCCGGGCTGTGGATAGAGTAAGTGGCGAAGCTAATCCCGATATGAAAGAAAAAGCTCTAAACACAGTTGCCAAGTTACCTACGTCTCAAACCTACGGATTACCTAATGCTACAACTTTAAAAGTCACGGCTTAATATATGATGACAGTAAATATTAACACGTCAGACGGACTAGTGAATGAAACCACGGGGGTACTGACTGCGATTGATTTTGCAGTCAATCCAACTACCTGTGAGAGAAGACCATTACGCATTTGTATATTTTTCGATGACGTAAATATAGACAAATTAAAAAGAATTCAGAGCTCAACATCCCTCACTCGTTATCAAACACGGTTAAAAATTAATTGGACTCCATAGAACCAGTTACGTATACTGTGAAAAGGTACAAATCTTCAAACTTACATGTTCGTCGCAGTTAATTCCCACTAGTTCTCGCTGAAGCTGTTACTATACATAAAAGTCAGGGTTCCACCTTAGAAAAAGTTGTAGTACATTTAAAGCCCAATATTTTAAGATCTATGTTATACGTCACCTGATCACGTGCCACTAGCGCTCAAGGTTTATTCATTGTTGCCGAGACCTTTCGTCCTCCACGTCCACCATCTGAGCATGATTCCGTCGTAACGGAAATGCGAAAATTAAAATTAAATCCCTTGATTCCCATATATCGCTTTTTAAGAGAGCCCGCAGTTCCTGCCAAATTATGTTCCATAACGTACAATTTCTACGTAAACACTTGCAGGATGTAGTAACCGATCCGCAGACGATGGCATGCGACATTTATTTAGCCGTAGAAACTTGGAGTTGCCTTCAAGATTTATTCAATATGAATAATTTTGAAGAAATAGTTCGAACAAATGGCCCGAAACAGTATTCTGCAAACCCCGGCTTTGGTGTATCTGCAATGATAAGACATAATCTAGAATATTCCAACCCACGATCTTACAGTGAAATTTCCGGAACTGAGCACTGTGAAGCAGTATCTTTTGAAGTAAATAATGTGAAAATAGTAGCCTTATATAGATCATGCAAATGCCCCAACAGCGTCGCAGTGGGTTTTATAAATTATTTACTGTCGCATAATAGTTCTTGCATTATATTTGGAGATTTTAACGAAGACTACCTTAGTAACAACAATACTGCAGTATTTAAATTACTAAATGACGCTGGTTATCACTTCATGTTACAACCCCTACCCACTACTCGTGGTGGGAAATAGTATCTAATGCATTCTTAATTTCTAGTGAGATGTTTGCTCAAGAGGCAATCTATGTACTGACTGGTTTACCACTGTCAGGAGCTAGTGAAGCTGCAATGTACAAAAACACTAGTTTGCCACAAGAGCGAGTGCATATTTTAAAAAGTTACCTTGAATTTCAAAGCCTCGAACCTGATTCTTCTGATATATTCTAAAAGGGTGTTATTGATTATTATTCAAAACGACCACTATCTTTAGAAAAGATAAGTCTTTCCCATTTTGTAGCATATTACACCTATTCCAAAAAAACTCATTCAGCTAGTTCAATAGAAACTCTCAATAACAGTTCTCAAGCAATTGATTATTCCCAGGCTGTTGAAGAAGTTGAAGCGGAAGGGAATTGCATTCCTTTGCAAGATAATTTAGGATACATACAGAAAAGAACTAAAACACGAGTAATACGATTTCGCCGGTACAGTTACATTGATATTCCAGACAATTTCTATAGGGAACAGATAATGCTATACATCCCTTGGCGAAGCGAGGAGGAAGAATTAAAAAATCCCAACATAAATATAAAGGACATATTTGATGAGTATAAAGAAAGAATAAAGGCCGAAAGTAAACAATTCAATAAACTAGGTGATGCTGAAATGTTTGAAACATTGCTAACAGAAATAAGAAATGTAGAATTAATATTAATAATATTATTAATATTAATAAGAAGCTAAGATTTTGTATTTTTTGGCAGATATCTTTTGCCAATTGTTTTGACTTTTTGAACTCTGGATCGTCTTTTGAAAGTTCTATTAATACTTTTGTTTCATCCATGGGGAAAAAATGGTATTCCAAAGCGACACAGTCTATCTGATGTTGGCCGGCGGCATGTATGTGTATGTTTATGTAGTTGTAGACGTCTAAGTTCATCAGGTACTTCAGTGCCGTTACAGGAAATAATATTGTCAACAAATTTGGAAATATCATGAGCAGATGCTGTATCATCAGGATCAAAATTGGGCGCTTCGTCTAACCATAACATCATATGAGCATGAGGCGATCCTCTATGCTGAAACTCAATGCGATAATAAAAGTGAGTGATTTTATAATTTAAGAAAGATCCAGATGAACAGGACCAGGTTTTTTGAATTTCTTTTAATTTGATTTCAAAATATGTGGCGCAAATGAACGGATCGGATTGTATAAGGCGAGTTTTTTGTATCGTATGGCAAGTTTTCCACTTCAAGCTCAGTAAGTTTTTTTCTTATCAACTACTTCACTAAGCAAAATTAATAATGGAATCCATTGCACTTCAGCAGCAGATATAGTTAAAAATAAAGTGGGAACACTGAAATGTCTAACCATTGCCAACAACTTTTATTTTTCACTTTCCCAGTGAGCAGGAGAATTTCTAATGCCTCCAAGAACACGATACCCATCGTCATGTTGAACTAAATTGTCAACAAAATTATTTTGAAGCACATTACATGCCAATACAGGGGCACCTCTGACAGTTTTTTTTTTTGCGTAAACAGGTCGTAACATTATTTTTGACGGAAATAGTTTGTTGCTTTTTCAGTGCAGTAAATAGGTAATCAGGTCTTACAGCTCGCCTGTCATTTCTGGAAATTTCTGAACGTGTGACTTCAGAATGACTTAAGTTCACGAGGTATTTTCGCTCAATAGCGCAATGTACTTTTATGAAGGCCAGCTCTTCCAGATGTCGATCAAAAAAGCAAGGAAATTGGCCTTTCACCTTCTCCTGGAGCCACTAACTATTGTTAGGTCTTGGTTTTCATCTAACAGAGTTTCTGTGCCACCAGGATTTACATCAGGAATCTCATCAATATTGCTCTCCTGCTCAGGTGAACTACAGGTACATTCAACAGTGTCTTCAGGTTCATTATTTGTCCATGAACCTTCAAGTTCTATATCATATGTTCGAAACAGATCACACGTTACTAAATATTCCGCTGCCCTCCGTATGATTTCCGGGCGGACTTGTTCTTTTCGACCATGTTTATAACAGAATTTACGCTAGAACAATTTACGCTTCAACTCTACAGTAATGACATTGTCATCATTTATCGACCGAGGCAAAGCTTTTACAATGTTATTAATTTTTACAGGTACATTTCTTAATAAACCATGCTGATATCCTAATCCCTGGCCTCTACGAAATATTTTCAAAATTACGTGACGAGGACTTACTAATCTCTCCTCCATTGAAGTTAATTCATTCAAAACATCCGGAATATCTGGAAACTTCAATCCATTGGCTATTGCCAATCGTGGCATTCGCCCTTGATTTATATATTTAGCACACGTACAGCAAAACTCCGCAGATTCTTCACAAGGATTTAAATTAAATACACTTAACGTGAATTCTGCATTATATTTAGTCGAAATAGAATGCTTTATTAGTTTTCTTACAGAATTTTTGTGCCATAATATACCACAACATGAACAAGGATGATTGTATCCTTCCTTGGTGTTATCAAAATATTTTCGTTTAACATTAACTAAACATGCTAAGTAGATTGGTGAGTCAAAAACCTCATTATGGCTATGCTGTTTACTACCACCACCAGTCTAGATATGGTTTCTAGTACAGATTTATAACATGAATTTCATGCTATAATGCTAACCGCATTATAGCATGAAATTCATGTTAAAAATCTGCTGCTACAGCTTGGTCTTTCAGATTCCCGGGAAAAACATCTTCTCTTGACATCCAGAACTAAGTACACATTTTATTTTTCTTTACCTCCATTCCGTTTTTACTTTAATTGTATTTTTATAACATAAAAATTTCTCAGTGACAACCCGTTAAGACACGCAGGAAGTGAATGGATGCAGGTGACTTGGAACCGTGCTTTGTGGCATTTCTTGGGGGAAGCCTATGTTCAGTAGTGGACTTTTGAAGGCCTGTACTGATGATGATGATGATGATGTTTAAAAAATTCCTTTTTTCGATATTTTAACTCATAAATAGTGTAATTTGCATTGATATATCCTTTTACAATTTCACCCTAACTTGATCGCACGTCGTTTGATTGACGCCTGACGTGCCTTGACTCCGACTTGACTCAGACTAATTTTCAGTAGGCTGTGTTTTATGTAAAATCACTTAATTGAAACAAGAGCGGTGCTATTGGTGGGAGAATATTGGGAACAAATTTTACAACGATGTGTTGTGCTGACATATTATGCTAAGTATTTTTAACTGAAGCAAAGTTATTTCTTAACTTAATTCTTCTTTTTAGAAATCTATTTTTTATTGAATAAGAGTGACAAACCAGTACACAGTATGTGGCCCATTAACATCAATTTCTATCGTAATTAAGTATTCAAATGTGTAGGCGTTGTCACCCCTGAGGTCTAAGATAGAATGCCTCCTAACAAGTAAAAAGGATCTCCTATTCTCCACACTCACCGTACGAAACACGCAGGGTATTCGTGATTCACGCTGGTAATCTATGATAGCGTGGTACTACTTCGGCCAAGTCAAAATTTCCATTCGTGCTGCAGACATAATATAGCATTCTAAACATCAAGAACAAAATTAATTTATAGTATTATATCTCTGATTCCTTTCCAGTGAGGATTCGTGTGTCAAGCGTAACGACTAAGGGAAATCTTCACTACAACGGGGAGTTCCATGTGTGGCAGTAGACTTTGGGTTTCTATTAATGATGACTAAACACATTTAACAAAAACAACGTAACCCGCCAGCCCGCACGCTTAGGTCGCCGCGCAAATATACCTACAAAACAGTTAGGATTATAGATTATATTAGCTTTATGAGCATAGAAAATATTCTATTATAACCAATGAATGTCCTATTTTTTCGTAATTTTGTTTACTGATTCTACCTCTTCTACAAATAACAAGGAAACCTACAAGTAAGTGTCTTAGAGTATTCTGAATTTTGCCTAAAATTAACTAGTAGGACATAAAATTTGGTTAAAAATATAAAATATATATAGAATTTTCTGGTAATTCTTCTTCCTTAGTATTTTACTACACAATAAAATTTCTATACTCAATTTACAAATAAGGAGTAACATCTGCACAAGACGCCCGTATTGGACGAAAGTAATAAAAATCATAATACTACTGGGCCATTTATTCTCGTCTTTATGAATATGACTGGACTACGGAACTCTAAATTAGAATTTCCCTAAGTTACGATCTTCATTTTCTTAAAAACATTTGAAATTATAGACTTATATAATTCTTAAGTTTATTTATATTATAAAAAATGAAAGGTCATTCTTTCTAATCATTTCAAAACAATCAATTTTAAAACGTTTTTAGCCTACTTCATAAAAAAGAGATTACACTACACTGTTTATGCATGCCTTCATCAATTGTGAGCCCATTTTGATTATTTTTTTAGCAATATAATACAATAGCTACATTTCACGGTATTCACAATCATATTTTTTATGAATATATACCAATTTTATATATTAATTTATAAATATATTGTCATGACGGCTTGACAGATAACATGACAATGAATTATGGGTAGAAGTGTGTATATTTCTACTATTACGATATTATTACCACCTGACTAAATAAATCTGGATTTTGGAGCCAAAATAAGATACCTACCGGATTTCAATGCTTACCGGACTTTTACCATGCCAGCTATATTTGTTCACTACAGGTCAAAAAAGGCGCGTGAGTAAGTGAATACGTCTTAAGTAGACATTTAAGACAAGACTTTTAAGACACATTATGAAGAGTTTTACAATAAAATTTTGTAGAGTAACCAACTTTTTGAAAGCTGTTTCTAGTGGCCAAAAATATAAGTAGAATTAAAGTACATTTCATTAGGAAATAAAGTGTCATTTGAGTTTAAGTGCCGCGATGTCGTATGAAGACTGGATTTATGTAACACAATTAAAAATACAGTCAAATTGAGAACCTCCTACTTTTTTGAAGTCGGTTGGAAATAGACTACTGGATCTCCCTCCAATTCCAGGTTCAACCCACGTGTAAAACTATTTCATGATATTCACTTACATAAGCGCAAATACATCTATTATATCCTATCAAAAATGTGGTAAGTTAAAAAACAAACACTTTCAACAAGTATTATTTAAATTCTCTATTGAATAATGAAGTTTTTGTTTCTTTAGGATGAGGGTGACAAATGAGCACACATTCCACATGATTGTAAAGTGATGCTGTCGCCAATAAACGCAATCGACGAACGCTCTTAGCTTTGCGGTCCAGCCAGAGCCGCGGAGGCTGGGACGAGTAGCGCCTCCTTTACTAATAATCCTACTTACCAAAATGTCACGCCTCCCCAAATTTAATTCACCAGGGTTTCTTGGCGGCCCATCCTCGATTATGGCCCGGCCACACTAAGGAGAAATGCCGTTAATTATCGCGTTAATGGACGTTGAATCTAGGTGTGGCCACGAATTATCGCGATAATTTGACAACGGCATTAACAATGCCGTTTCCCGTTTGCCGATAACTCGAGTGGCGGTACATCAAAGAATTAACGCGCGAATTATCGCGTTGAAGCGGCCACACTACGTTTGTCTCATTGTGCACGGTGAGTGCCACGGGGTTGCACGTATGACTGTGATGGAGTGGAGTAATGAAAAAAGCTTTTCGAGATTGAATTAAAAAAAAATACTTCAAAAGTATACTTTAATTTACGGTATGAAACCAAGAAAAATAAGCAGGAGAAAAAAAAACAATTTTTGCAGGTCAAAATTCATAGTGTACAGTGGTATGAAACCATAGATATAATACGAAACCCTGGGTACGTGTATCTAATTCGCACTTGAGCAGTATTTATGATTGGCTTATTAGTTATTATTTTATTAAAATATATTTACGTTTGTCTTATTATTTAGCTTAAACCATTGGACATCTTTCTAGTGCAATTTGGGTGCGGGAAAAAAATAAAACATAAATAGATTTACAGTGTACGTTTCCTGTGCATTTTTAGCATCCACCATCTTCTTTTCCTTTGTATTCTTTTTTTCTTTGTTTGTTTTTATTTTTATAAACTATTAACTATATATTATATTTGTTTATTTTTATATTATTGAAACACAGCAGCATTAAGCTACTATTTTACGCTGGTATTCTGTGAGAGCGTGGTCCTTCCCCGGTCGAAACATTTTACGCCGTTCAACGGCAAATTTAATGCCGTTCAACGGGAAACGACGTTGACCGTTCAAGTGTAGCTCATTTTATCGCGTTAAATTTAAGGCAATAATTGTTGCGTTTATGGGCACTGACGTTGCTCGTTAGTGTAGCCGCAGCATTACGAATCAAAATGCAGAAGCAGAATGCGTTGAGAACTAAGAATTAATGCCTCGTTTTCAATAAAAGGGGTCTCCGGTTCTCTACACTCACCATACGAAACATACCAGTGTTAAGGTGATTGGGCGCCAAAAGCAGATTTTTCACGCTTTATAGGTGCGCAGAAAAGCATTTTTTTGTCACCAAAAACTACGAATCCACATTTTTTTAAATTAGTTATGAAATTTAAAGATTTTTCTTAGTGAAATGTTGGCCAAAACACAATTGACATATTTTGGCTCGATAGAAAAAGATCGCAAAATTTCCCTAAAATCTACAATTTTAGGTACGTCCACTTTGTGAAAAAGCTGTTTCATTCGAATGTAATGAAATCAGTTTCAATTAAATTCAGGCTATGTTTTCACCATTTAGTGGTGAATACATAGCCTGACGTAAGTGAATTATGGGTTTATTTTTCAATGAAAGAGTATATATAATTTTAAAAAGAAATATCAAATAAAGAAAGACCAAATAGCCGTCAGTCGCACCTATAAAGCGTGAAAAATCTGCTTTTGGCGAGCCGACATATTCGTGATACAACTATATAATTGCAGCTCTACGACTTATAATAGCCCCTCTACACGTTGGGCCAACGCGATGGCCCAATGTGATGGGCCAGCGTGTGGAGGGCGTAGTTGTGTCGGATGGCTTATGGCGCATGCGATGGTCTTGGGGATGGCGACGGTGTCGGTTTTCCGCCGCAAATCAAAGGCAGTGGGCCAGCGATGGTGGTACGCATCTACACGTGGCCCATTCCACAGTTGTGCTCTCTAGTATATACACAGTAATCTATGGTTGTGCGCGCTCGACGGTTGCGTGTGGACGTTCGTGCTTTGTTTATTAATTAACGAATTAAAAATGACGAATATGTGGCCACTTAATGAAGTTATAAAATTTTAATCTTAGAGCTACTAAAATTAGAAGATACACATATTTTATTTTTTATTTATTTATTTTTAATA